AAAAAAACTCCTTAGGCATCATTCATAAGTACTTCCGACGGTTTTCAGCGTGTATAACACAACATGGTGTTGTAGAAACAGTGGCTGGTGCTTGGTTAAGTTTTGAGTAATAATGGACTTGCTCGGCGTTCACCGCACTCTCTCCCTTCCCTCATCCACCCAAACCCGACAGAGTTGGGACCGAGCGCATGTGGGAGGTGTGGCCGGAGCCGTCACCACGCCCGAGTTAAATCCCACGGAGTGGGTGTGTGCCACAAAAGCCACGGGTGCCTAGGGCCTGATCTTGCACCTACGCGGGCCACCAAAGCCTCCTCTCAATCTCCATGTTCGACATTGGTCATGGGTGTTAGGCCGGAGCTTAACTCAAAGTACACGCCGCCCTAACGAATTACGACTGCCACGCGGACCACTTCAGACTACTGTACCATCGACGAGCAAGCACATTAATACCTGTTGTGATTTCAGTAGGGTTTCGAATACACCACCATCCTGTTTCAAACCAATGTCATGATGAGGGGACATGTACTTCCACCTACTCACTCGGATAGCCTTAACTTAACCCATTTCCCATCGTTCATTCCCGCTCAGGCCTCCCTCACGTTTTATCACAAGTTCAGCAATGATATCCACATAAGCGTTCAGAAAGTCCTGTTAGAAAAACGTATGTTTTTGATCATTAATCATCAGGCCGTCAAAACAATGCAAGGGAGAGTTGAGTTAACAAAGGTTTAAGCTGCCGATACAAGCGAACATGCGAGTCCCAGGAAGTAATTGAGAAGAAGACGACTCGATCGCTGGGACAATACGTTTATTCGCCCGATGTTTCGAGATCCCTCGCGGATTCGTCATCAAAGACATAGCCAAAGAACAGAAGCATGTGCATGTGCATGTATTACCCGTTTCTCCTACTGCTCTTCAACAAACTATCCACGCACGGGAAGGAAATTAACGTTAATTGTCTCTGTATGTTTGCAGCAACGACTGTGTCCTGTGAGTACTGCAAACCCCAGTACATCTATTACCCGTTTCTGCTACTGCTCTTTGACTATGTCTCTGATGACGAATCTGCGACGGATCTTGAAACGTCAGGCGAATAGAAGTTTTGTCCAAGCGATCGAGTCGTCTTCTAATCAAAGGTTTAAGCAACCAGTCAGTAATAAGTAAGGGAAGAAATTTTTAGGGATGAATGGGTCAGACTCCAATCATAACAAGAGGCCAGAGAAGGGAGAAGGAGTTTGATAATTAGTTCATGTCGTTCATGAAGTGTGTTTCGTTGGCAAGTCGTCGGTACTCACCAGATTTAGACTTAGGGTTAAGGTTTGAGGGTTAGAGGCCAGGGTGATAACCGTGGATTAGGGATTGGGAACAGAGTTAGAGGTCGGGGGGTGTGGAGGAGGTTTAAGTATTTTTGGATGGGTTGGACTAAAAGCTATCCGCTTTGTCAATCTTTAGACGCAGCCATCACGAGAGACGGAGGGACCGATGCGCCTACGATTCGCATGGTTTTCTGCACGTTTATAGCTCCCCATTTAAAGTATCACGTTTGTATTTTTACGATTCGTTTGGTCTTTTTAAACAAATGCAGCCATTTTAACCTTCGTTTCCGGTAACGTGCTATCTTTAGTTTCACCTACCCATTCATCATCAATCACATATGTCAGAAGTCATTGTCCTCCGTTTTATGAGTAAGGTTATATATGTGATCATCATCCAATAATGAGAAAAGCTAGCGGCATAATAGCTCTCGATAATCAGGCATTCTGGGCGCTACATAGGACAAAGTATCGACTCACAAGTGGACCAACTAAATATCGATTAGTTCGTCCGCTTGTTCAACACTGTCTCGATAATTGTGACGGCTCCGCGGCCAGAATGTAAATGATAGAATTCACTCATTAGCCGCGCATAGTTCTCCATTTTGCAAGAAATTATCACATCGGTACATATGTACCCAGTAAAGCCAACTAGGAATATCTGGTTGGAAGAATATTGATCTGAGAATTCACGTTACCCATCGCATGACAAAAATAATCGCTGATGTCTTATTTCAAGGCTGTCTGTGTGATGCTAAGTGCATGCGACTTGTGTGGTCCGTTTCCTATCGATCCCTGCTCATTCACAACATATGGGCCCAGTTGAATGTACTCGACCCAGAGAAAAATCATTTATTTGCGTGATATTGTTTGTATGCAGGTCCACGACCAGTAACCAAAGCCTCTCGGCTCCACTTCAAGCTTGAGTTCATTCCCCAAATGAGCAGGCAATCAATCAAAGACCAATTTATTAGCCTTAGTGGCATAAGCATCGCAGAAGATCCGCATTTTGCAAGTTGTCCTAACAGTACAGTAGAGGGAGGGGAAGTCATGTAACATGCCGACGTTTGCAAAAAATTGGTTCTCACTCACAAACCGACATTAACGTATGCACGAAAACTTAGAAACAATGGAAGAGAACCTAAGATAGTTTTTTTTACCTAAAGTAAATATAAGAGTACTAATTGTTTGTTAAGAAAAATAGAATTTCGTTAATAATCCTCAAATTCTGCAGAGCTAAAAGATTGCGATAAATTACAACAATACACTTAAATCTTGTCGTCAATTGAATGGATAACCATACCACATTTATATCACAAGAAACGTTCTTTAGTCAAAAGGTTTTATGCATATTTTCGTTATTGTATTACAATTATTTTAAGATTGTCCTTTAAATTACGGCATATGTTATTTCCCGCTGAACAAGTCTGAATTACCCCCGTCCCTTCTCCAGCGAAACTCCCGCCCGACCTACAGAATGATTGCTTACCTCTTAGGAAGGCTGTCCCCTTCCTTCCTCGAATACTGGCCGCCCTCCCTTGTTAACCTTTTCACTCGATTGCGTATGGCTGAATACTGTCCCCAGACCCCCACCCCGGTTCGGATCTCACGATGCTATCGACTCCCCGCTGATGCTGGAGGCAGTCGTTTCGAGTCCCGGAGTGACGTTGTGCTGGCTAGCCAGTTGTCCGTCTCCCCCTCCCTACTTCTTGACCCAGTTGCCGCGGCTACTCCGAAGACCACTCGTCTAGCCACCCCCCGTCGTTGACATTTTCATATCGCCTCTATTCAAGAACCCCCTCCCCCTTTCGCGCTGGTCTTTCACATCAATCCTGATGCTACATGAATTGTCTTGTGAAATCATATAAAAGCGGAGCCACACCCCCTCTCCCAATAACACACACAAGCCTTCCCATGACCAGTTTCGTCTTGCGTGGCGTTATTGTTGAACTTGTCTCGTTCCCTTGTATAGAGTCAAGCGATTTGGCCGACCCCCTTCGCTCTTCACTCGGTGTGTCCATGGGTGAGGTTTGTACACTATTTATCCTTCACTATTTTTGCTTAGTGGTATCGTAATGTCTTGCTAGTTGTTATCATTGGTTTTGACGTACGCGTGGCTGCCGAATACAGTCGGAAAGTGAGGAAGACGAGACAGCATATTTTCGAGTATCTTCAGTCCTTGCCAGTTTTCGTCCATAAATCCAGATTATTTTTGATGTTTACATCTAAACTTCGAAAATAAGGCAGCTCTTTGAAGCATTTATCAAAAAAGTATTTTTTGGGCATTATTTCTTATGAAGATGGCCAGGTGAGCCATATTAAGAAATTCTTAAACACGTTGTCGTTCAAAAAGAACGTGCGCAAGAGAATTCTGATATTGTTACACCTAAGATTAATTAAAAAAGCTTTATATAACGGGGTACCTCCGAAAAGCACTTTTATTAGATATTCCGCTGACGAATATCTGAACATGTTACCTTTTTCAGGGTAATGTCTGAGGGAAAATGGCGAATTTTGACAAGTTTTTAATCTGCCTGAAAATAAATGCTACAGTTTTGGTTGGCAATAAAAGAACATACTTCTTAGCTTTATATTGGAGTGTTTGTCACCAAAATTGATCACTTTCAGGCTCTGTTCTAATTCCCCGTAGGCAAAAACAGTGGCCGAATAAATTTGAAGAGGTTGCGAAAAGGGTTAAGCTTATGTCGATTCTGTTTCCCAATTACGCATAAGGGGAAGTTATATTGGACAAAAAAGTATACTGCTACGCACTCTTGGATTTAATAATATTGGTTTTCATCTTAAGGTGCACTATGATATATGTATATATATACAGTTCTGCGAATCCTGTAAACAACTTACAGGACGAAATTTAACTTGGTAGTTTAGCGTATATCTGGACAGGTTATTTTG